CTTGCACTGTGAACGTAACTACATGACTATAAACATTTAGGCAGTCACAACTTTGCTCACCTCAGTCCTGCTTGTGTCAGCCTGTAGAGCTCCAGTCATGTTACTCCTGTTCCCATCAGGAAAACTGAACTTCATACAGCTCAGCTCACGATGCGGTTATCAGTAAGGGACAACTTCTGCCATCTTGGCACACAGTAAGTAATATCTTAATCAAGAAGTGGAATCACTGGTCTTTGCATGACTGTGTAGACAGCATGTCCTATTCAGTCTTGCTAAGACAGGCACGATCTCATGCTAAATTGTCCCAACAGCAATACATTTCCTCTCCACCTTAACTGGAACCCCGATAACTGGGGGACAGATGCCCACCTAATGATGCTGGAAGGGACCCGAAAGCAGAGAGGTGAGGCTGTGCTCCAAAGAGCTGCAAGGTTTGCTCTCATACCGCAAGGAGAAGCGCAGGTCTTAAATAAGATTCTGACTTCACATTGGTAGGAATGCAAAATAAGTTCACTAGTCCCAAGGGACATTGCCACCATACACTACTGCAGATTCAGGAGGAGGCTGTGCTCTTTACTAAGTGATTGATTCATCCCTTTCTTACAAGTGACCACTTTTCATTCCCAGAAAAGCTTATTTTCCAGTCTTTTGCTTATCTTAGTTAAACTGTGATATAAAATTATTTGCAGTCTAACCCATGGAAGTGCTAAGAAAGCACACTGCCCCTGGCAGCAGTTTACAATCCTTTTCCCTGTGTGTGTGACTGTGTATGAAGTTATTTTTGTACGACAAGCAGCGTGATGTGGTCTCAGTACTGTATTTGTAGAACCAAAACTGAAGTTTGCAAGTGTTTAAAGAATATATTTGACATTCTAACGCCAAGGAAAGCACTGTTTCCAAGTCCAAATGTGAATGAAGAGTGAAGATGCTGAGTCTCAAAGCCTGCTGATCTTTCTGACTGTGATGATCTGTTCCATACTTGCATTGTAGAAGCACCATAAGCGACGTTTGCATAAATTACCATACACGGATTTTTGCATAACTTGCACGGTAGCTCATCCAAATAAAAACGTTACCATATACATTTTTAGACGATTGCTCGAATTATATTTTCTCTGCGACGCATAAAAAAGCTTTTCCTTTGATAGCGTTCCCACGTCCAACCCAAACGGAGCCCAGCAGACTGCAGCGCAGCCCCGCAGCCCTTCACGCGCTCGCCACGCGAACCACTGGCGCTGTGACGGGACGCATTTATCCGCACCGCATGAGCTAAGTACCGTAAAGGAGGAATGAAGGTAGCAGCTAACTAGGTATTTTTGCTGAGGCAATGATCATCGTCCCCACGTTGCTGTTGATAATACTGGTACAGTTTGGGCCCCCAGGATCCCCCCAACCCTTCTGCAGCTGGACAGTGTCCATTGGACATGTTGAGTATAATGGAGGTCAATGATTTAATGTAATTCTTGGCCAGTGTGAGAGTCTCTATTTTGGAAAGTTTATTCTCAGCTCTCACATGAGGGATTACCTCCCGCAGGGCCTGGAATGCATTGTTGAGCTTGTGCATTCTCTGCCTCTCCCGCTCATTGCTTTCCAGTCTCCTCAGATGTCTGTCCTTACTGCTCCAAGGATGCTTGGCTCTGGCTGCAGCAATCTTGCTGCTCTCCTTGCTTCCCCCACTCCTCCTCTCTGTGTGCCGCAGGCATTTCACCAGTTCCTTTTTTCTCATTGCAGACTCCTCAGAAAAGGCTTCTTTATCAGCTGTATGCCTTTTCTTCTTCCCTTTGGCTTTGGCCTTCATGTTTCAGTAGATGTTCACCAGAACATTAAGTATCAGTGTGCTGCAAAAACATGATACCAATATCTTTAACTGTTGGACAGTTTAACTGGGAACAACTGTTCTGATGCTTTTTTTTTTTTTTTTTTTTTTTTTTTAAACAAACTTATCTGATGGTAAGTTTATTTCTTCAGTAAGGTCTACTGGCTGCCAATGTAGAGATGTTTGCTTCAAAGCCATGGATGTTACCAGTCAAGATGCCTTGTGCAGATGAACTAAGGAGAAAATCCTTCTAACAGAGTACAGGTAATAAAGCAGCCATCTATCACCTCAGACTCTTGCAAAATACATTGGGGCATCAGACAGAACTTGCAAGCTGTTACTCAAAGCAGTTTCTCCAGCTGCTTTTTGTGGCAATAGTGGAAAATATGTGTTTATAAGCAGTTCACTAGAGGGAAGCATGACCTAACTCACCTGGTAGCTCAAGCTGCTGTCCAGGAGCATGCTATCACCCAGGGCTTCTCTCCGTTCCGAGTCCCCACCACACACACACAAGACAGCAGCCTCACAATCACTCTTCCTCAAACACCAACAATCAGTCACAATTTCCAAAAATAATTCCTTACATCTTCGTCCATCCCATGCAGTCACACAAGGTATCCTCTTAACACATTTGTGCTGATCAATCTACATAAGAGTGGTTTGAGGTTGGTGAGCCATTTAAAAGAACTGGCCACAGGTGCACAGCTGCACAGACAGGACATCACCCTTAACTGCAGCATGTGCTGAGAAGCTCCCAGCTGCACCACAGCAACCACACCACTTCCTCTCTTGGTTCTTTACAGCTGTATGTTCAGCTGCTGGGCACTGATAGTGGCTCAGTTCCCTGTCCATGTGGGTATCCTGGCCATCCCCAGGGTTCCTTACTAGCTAGGAGTCAAGCTTTACCAGAAAGGACAAGAATTCACAGAGCAGCTTGGGAAGGTAGCATCTGGGTGCCAAATGCCCACAGGACAGTTCCAAAAAACTTGTCGTGGCAGCTTAGGAGGAGCAATAGATTTACAAAAGTATCATGAGAAAGAAAATGGGACTAAAGCCAAGCACTGGGTTTTATTCAGGACTTCTAGTCTAGCTCACTTAGCAGAAAAGTGCAACTGAAGGACATAAAAGTGAAAACAGGACAGAGGACACCGGTCAACTTCCACCCCTCCCCCCAGCACAGTAAGCGCTGTTAGAGCAGAGAAATGAGCAGCTGCTCTCAAAAAGGAAAATAGCCTGCAAGAATCAGGGAAGGGGTTCATAGAAGCAGCCAGAAAATAAAACTGGGAGGACAGCCCAGGAGGAAGGAAGCTTCAGCAAGCTGAGGGAGGAAGCAATGAAGTCCTACAAACTGCAGGTGAGGGTGAGCAAATAGGATGAGGTGGGATTAAGAGGGCACTCAGCTGGCTAAGGTTTGCTTTCAGACTGCAGTACACTGCAGTAACTCCCTGAGAAAGTGCCGTGTGGAGCCACAGCCAGAGAGATGGCATGGGAGCAGAGGAAGAAGAGGAGACAGAAGAGCTCAGGGGCAGAAGAGTGGGATATTCAAGAGCAAACAGAGAACAACCGCCAAATATCAGCAAGTCTGCACCCATCCCTCAGTGGCATTACTTTTCTGCGACTTACCACTGTCATCAGCTGTGGAGAAGGACCTAGAGCCCAAAGGGGGACATGGCAGAGACCTGCAAGAAGCCAGGAGCAGCAGCAGCATCCAAGGCAGCAGCCAGGGCACTGCCTGCCCTCAGGGCTGGGCCAGGGTCCACCAACAGGGATGCCTGGGAACGAGGAGCTTGTGAGGGATGCAGGACCCTCACACGGAGGACAGCCCACAGGACACGCTGTTGGAAGTCTGCCCAGCAGGCGCTGCGACAATTGAGGAGGCAGCAGCAGCCCCACTGCCCTCCTCGTCACAGCTGGCTGCCTGTGACACGTGGCATTAGCAGTGTGGGCGGCCCCAGGGCCACAGCCCTGCAGCTGCCAGCAGTGTGCAACCTCAGCCCTGCCAGCACTCCAACGCTACATGCTGGGTTTGGGCAGCACATGAAGGAGCACTGCCACAGCCTGCTTCTTCCCACGGAGGGAAAGTGGTGGGCAGGCAGCAGGGAGCACAAGGCTGCCCGTTTGGGCTGGTCATGGGGCTTACGGGGCCAACAGTGCTACAGCAACATGGGCAGCATATGGAGGCACTGCCGCAGGCCGATGAGTGCATAAACAACTTGTCTCTGCAGGAGGAATGACTCCCAGACTTACTTAGCAGGTGGGATGTCCTCAGGTGGAGAAGGAAAAGCCCATCCTAGCTCTGTGTTCTGCCACGGGCTGTGCAGGTTACCACACCGCCTGTGCCACAAAGAGCACTTCCATCCCCTGCAAGGAGGCTGCTGCTGGTAAAGATGCAAGAGCTCAGATTTTTTCAGTAAGTACATAAGACAGACGGTCAGTGCCATGGGAGCTTCCACACCTGTTCTCAATAACGACCACTGTCTTGGTCAAATTTTAGCCCACTAGTTATATTTTAGCTAACAAAGTTAAGTCATCTTGGTGACAATTTCTTGTTCCCAGGACTCACAACAGCTGTTAGGTGGATGCAGGGGCTTGCACACCAGCTCCCAGTAACTACTTCACATTGCTGTGTGTCAGCATGATCTCAACAGGCGAGGAAGAGAAACAGTTCTTTTCTCCTCAGGGAGGGCCGGGCTGAGAGTCTGAATCTCATGTGAAAGAAACTACTAAAACATGTAAGTACTGCATCTACCTGGGGATCTTAAGTCAATTCAGCACATGCATTTAGATTGAAGCACAACTTCTACAAATCAATTCAAAACATTGTGAGAGAACAGCACCATTCACTTGTTTTCTGAAAGATACCTGTGAATTCTTCCTATACATATTCAACTCTAGGATTAAAAGAAATGAATATACATATGTATTTAATTACACTGCTTCTAACTTGAGCACTGCTTCTCTACTGACAATACACACATGTTACCTGAAGTTGAAGCAAGGGTGAAACAGAAATAATTAAGGGTGGTATTATTTAATGTAGACTCATCTCCTGGAACTGTGGCTTTGAAGTTTTGGTACAATTCTCAGCCTCTGGATGCTAACACTGACAGTAGCCAGCTATGCTATACTGTGGACCAGAACCATTACTGGCATCTGTTTAAGAACGAACAAACAGACAAGGAGATTATAAATATATAACTATTTTATTTTTAATATTAAATATTTTTAAATTACAAGCAATTTATTGAATCACACTATGCATGATAATCAATATACAGTAGAAATTACAATTTAAAAATGTACACAATTTAAAGACATTTTGACCTGAAATTCATTAACTATGATATATTGCCATAAACCTCATACCTGTATTAAATTACAATAGGAAAACCTCATACCTATGGTTTTGTTACACAGTTTCTCATTTACAAATAGAATTAAACATATATACACACACATCAGTACCATTTGTCATTTAAGTTACACCTACAACTGTGCAAGTTCGAACAATTTCATAAACAAAACTAACTGTAAGTCATATTCAAGTTTCTGAAAAACAGGCTGCTGGTTTTACAAATACTTATGCTCAGTAAGTTTCTATGATGTTCGACTCCCCTCTACGCTTTTTCCAGTCTTGTACCGAAGCCATTAACACACAAGGATATTTCTGTATGACTTAAAGCTGAAGTAATTTTGTACACTCCGTTCTTAGTTAAGGCTATTTCTTATAAGGCTAATAAATTTTGATTCCACCAACTCACCACCTTTCATCAACCCCAACAAAAATAGCCATTCACCAACACCTGACAACGCCGACACGCAGCGCTTCATCAAGTCCTTCACCAACCAGCCTCCTGGCGAAGGAAGCTTTGCGTGCAACATAAAAATCTGCTAAAAATACTGATAAAAAGAATGAGGCTTAAATGGCTTTCATTAGTGCATCAACAAGGATATGAAACATGCTGAACTCAACCCTTCCCGTGAGCATGGCACTGCCACGAGCAGTTAGACATGCCACGTCCCTGCAGACAGGGATCTGGGAGAGGACAGGCCTTTCCATTAAGACTAAACACACTTCCCACTTTGTTGGCTTCTTACTACAGATCTTCATTTTTATTTTTGTAAATAAACTTCCTTAGGTGGGAAAAACATCAGGTTTCATAAACAACTTCAGCAGCCAAATTGAGACAATGTCTTTGGATAAAAGTATCGTACTAGGGAGGGAATTAAAATTTCAGCAGTCTGAAAAGAGATACATCTACTTCCGAAACTGAAACCATGCTCAAGTAGCTAGTGCAAGGATTTCATACAGTTTTAAGAATGATTCGTAACACATCACCTCATTAAACACAATTTGTGGAATTACCAGTTCATCTTCGCTGTGCCACTGAGTGCTAGGTGGATATATTGCAGTATTGCTAATAGTCGATCAGATGTTTACTGTAATTTTATTTGTCCAAAAAAGACCCTTAGGATTATTGCCATCTAGCCTTCTGGATTACTGAAATAAACCCACGGCTTAACTGAGGTGAGTCAACTTCACATATTTCTCTCCTCTTTGTATAGCTGAAAAGGACATTGCTTAATATCATACACATCCCAGCCCGTTTGGAAAATGTGCTCCTTTGGCAATTTGCTAGCAATTCGTCCGTTTGCACTAAGGGGTGAACTTTCAATCCCTATGTAAGATTTCCTTTAAACTCTGGTGAAGAACAGACATTGTATTTCCATCAAACCAAGGGAATTCCTGCTGGAAGGCTGCACATGTGAGAAACAACTGAGTTTCCAGAATTTTAAGGACCAAAGCGCACAACCAAATTTTAACATTGTGGAATACAAGCTTGTACTTCACTTTGGACCATACTCTAAGTCAAGCCATTCAAAATTAAGGCTGAACTCCAGGTCTGACACAGTCGTTTTTCACCTCCCAGGGCAGATAAAACCACACACCATCTGCAGACCGCTTACAGAGCTTCATACTTAGTTCTGAATTTTCACACTTTAGAGTGTGAGAATAATTGAACCTCGATGTGATACCTTAATCTAGTTGTATCGAGGAGTTTAATATTGAAACTCTGGAATTTCTAAGCAATAATATGTGCACGAAGTCAATTATCTGTCTCTTAACATATCCCAAGCAGCTCACAGCTTCCTTAAGCCCTTCGCACTGAAGCACAATTCTTACCAGCTCTGAACCTGAGTGCCTCATCAAAAAAGTTCTCACCAACACATTGGCAATTTTAATAACTTGACAGAACTAAGTCGCTCCCTTTTGGTTGGTGTGGAAGCCAGTCGGGCCAAGGGCTGGACAGTGCTGGAAAGAAGCAATTAACATATTCCTTTTCATTGAAAAAAAAAACAAAATGCATACAGAAGTATTAGACACCAACTTCACAGATCTGTAAATATCCAGTCCTCCTGCACTTCAGAGGACAAATGTTTTCAGGTGACTGGATCTGAACACAGAGCACTACCACCACCATTATACTGAAGCCCTGCCCAAAAAAAGCCACTAAACTACAATGCAATTTAAAGCCAGGTAAACTGTTCCTGTCAGTGTTTCCTACAGATCTGCAGCTGCATAAGGCATTCCAAGAGGCCAGGGATTTGTTTCTCAAATTTACTCACTTTGCAATAGTAATTAAGGATATTTTTTTTTTCCCCAAGCAATTTAAAGAATTTAACTAAATGCACAGGAGAGCACGAGGGTTCAAGAACCACGCTGTATTCCTTTCCCTACAGGCAGCTTCAGAGTAAACTTTACTATACAACATCTTTGGGTATGCATTTCAAGATGTACCATGGAGCCCTGCAGATATGTGACAGTAAGTCTGGCCTCACAAAGGGTGTAGAACTGGCTATTAACCATTAGTGTAATTCTTAATTGTCGGAACATCACTGAGAGGTAGATCTACCACAGGCCTCTGAATGGTAGCCCCAGTCTGCAGTCAGCAGAAGAGAGCTTCAAAATTCACAGAATGTACAACTGAAGGGCCAAACATGCCTGAAATCCAGTCTGTTTAAATCAGTCTTTTTTAGAAGATTCATAATTCCCAGTTTTGTACAGTCAATTTTGTTTCTTCTCTCTCCAAGGCAGAAAGTTGTAGTGCCAACTGGAAGGCCCTTAAGTGTGACACAGTCAGATGGAATTACAGTTCAAGCAGTCAGTAGGATCGTATTCAGGAATCGAGACATTATCTTTCATCTACAAATTCCAGAGTACATCATATACACTATTCCAGTTTCCTATAAAACATGAACACTAACAATCTATAGTCATCATTTAGAAATGGTACTGAATATAAGATTTCAGCAAATCTAACACTCGGAAGTTATGTACGTTTTACAAGTACCGTGCATAGCAAAGGCTACAAAAAGGACAAATCAAACTGGGTAACTGGGCCAATTCAACTTGTCTCATATTCCTCAAAAGATTTAACATTTTGATTCTGTACATCATCAGGAAATAGAGGAAGAATAATCCATAGTGCAATTGTAATAAGCAAAGTAACATGTAGTGATATCTTTTAAATAAATATGGCTCACTACTGATCAACTACCATTCATACAGTTCCAGCGACACAGCCACCTGTTGCACACGACAGTTATGCACAATTCTACAACAGGTGTATGTTCAAACATAATGAACTACATGGAAAAATATAAAAAGAATATTATACAATCTCATACATAAACCAGACTGTAGTGTAATTGCTTAACTTGTCTCTTAAGTTATCTGAAAAATACTTCAAGTACTTGAAAACAGCGGCAGAATCATCTTTCAGTAATGAAAAGCAAAATTGCACTGATTTAAAAATACATTACAAAGTTAAATACACATTCAAATTAATGTCCTGATTTAACATTGCTTTCAGTGTTTACTTTCATTTCTTAGGGCTTCTTGATTACCTGTGTCTCTCCAGGAGATCCAGAGTTCACACAAACAAGTTTCAGACACAGTCTGTGCGTCCTGTGTATGAAGTCCCAGAAAGTTTTTAACTATTTAATCTTTTTCTCCATCTTCACTGCTTCCTGTTGGCAGAGGGAAGGTGCAGTGAGATCCCAGCAACCCATCGCTGCTCTGCGAGACTTTTCCCACCCCCTGCCATGCTGCTATCACACACTCCTCTGTACTGGCTTATCTTTCTTCTTATCTGAAGCTTTCAACTACTGCAAACGCTGAGCTCCCAGATGCACGTGCACCTGCTGAAATCACACTGCTCAATGTCACTTCTCAGGGCAGCGCAGGATTTCCAGAATCTCTGATCTCAGTAAGTTACTGAGCAGCCAACATTATCTAACCAGCAAGCATGAAACAAGAACAATACAGAACTATGTAACTGATTACATTTTTACACTGATCATCAGAAAGGCTCAGCAATCACTAGTATTTTATAATGCAACATTTTATCTAGATTAATAATACGCTGAACTGATTCAAGTTTGCCCTTTTTTCCCCCCCTCTAAGTTGTCAAAAATGCATTCAAGCTTTAAAAAGCTTTTTGTTACATACAAGAAAGCTTCTGTTAATAGATTAGGTACTGGAACAGGCTGCCTAGAGAGGTTGTGCATGCCCCATCCTTGGAGGTGTTCAAGGCCAGGTTGGATGGGGCCCTGGGCAGCCTGGGTTAGCATTAAACGTGGAGGTTGGTGGCCCTGCACGTGGCAGAGGGTTGGAGATTCATGAACCTTGAGATCCCTTCCAACCCTGGCCTTTCTGTGATTCTGCTACAACTCAACAAACTGAACTGATTTGTTTAGCTTTCTGAACTGTTCTACTCAGCTTTAGAAAACACACTGCAATTCTTGAGAGAACATCAGAAATGCAGTTTCTAGAAAGCAATACATCAAAACTGTGAAACAGGCTTGGACAACTGTAGACAAATTCCTCATCCTGTGCAATGACAATAAAACAACCCACAACAAGGCAATAACGGGAATTATTATATTTATTAATTGGTAGCTTCAAAATAATAATTTTAACTAAATCACTTACCTCCTTGCTCTATATCCGAATCTGTAAGATGCGTAAGGGAAAAGCTTGCCATGTTTGCAGGAGAAATAGAGAATCTGGAGTAAGGGGATGAATGTGACCAGTTCTGTTCGAGAGTCCGGGCAGGAGGAGGCGGAGAGAAGTACTTGGACTGAAGAGGTGGTTTAGAGCTAATAAGGCTATTAGCTGCCTTTGATATAAAGGATGGCTCTGGGGAGGAGAAGTCATCGTCCCATTCAAAACCACCACCTTGGTGTAAAAAACAAAGGAAACAAGAGAAAAAGAAGCAGTTTACAGTACTGTAAAAGTCACATGATCTTAAAAGCAAGTCCCTGGAAGACTGCATTAGGTCAAAACAAACCTACTGTGCCTTCTCAGACAAGACCAAGTCATAAGAAACAACACAGAATTACAGAGGATGCCAGTGAATTCTGGAAGCAAAATTCAAACTTGGGAGGCTTTTCTACATACCACACAAAAGCATAATACTGACTTCAGAACACCAACTCTATCATGTAAAACCATATAACACTATGCTCAGCAATAAAACAGTCGAGTATGGGAAGTTAGTCATCTTTTGCCTAGGAACTGGCTAGGCACCTGTACACGGGAGCTGGTGAATGATTCTGCACCACTTTTCTTTCTTCTTCTACATCTCCTTGTTTATTAAATATATTTTTTTTTTCCCCTCAACTCACAGATTTCCTTGCTTTTAATCTTCCTCTCCTCCCATCCCACTGGGAGAGAGCAAGTGGCTGCGTGCCCACCTGCCTTCCCACACGTCGACCCACAGCATGCGTACACTCACAGGACAGAGCCTGGAGAGAATAAAGGTCACAAACAGAGCACACTGACAGTCATAAAGACTGCAGAGAGGAGTGCAGCACCTCCCCAGATGCAAAACTCAGCTTCAGAACCCTGAGGTTCAAATCTTGCACTCATACCTACATTCTGACAACATCCAGCTGCTAAAGCAAATTATTTGTACAAGCACTCTAACGAGGCCAAGAAGTGTCGATGTGCTGCAACATCCAGACCAAATGAATAAAAACAGCCTCTTGAGCCAACCTGCTGGGGTTTAGTCAGGAGGGGGAGGTCACAAAGACAACTTACCTGCAGTTTGATCTGGGAGGAGAGGGGAGGGGAGGGGGTCACAAGGACTTCTTATCTGCAGTTCTGCAGTTCAGTTGCCTCTTGAGACACATCAGCAGATAAGCACTATTAACTCCCAAGCTTTGGTAAACAGTAACATTACTGTCCAAGCCCAGCTGAAGTATTTGCTTCAGATGTGGAATTGAAGCCAGTACAGTACAGTGTACTTATCAAACTATGTATTTCAAGTGACAGCTCATTAAAACTATGCAAAGCACTCTCAACCTGTGCTGCACATAAACATTTTCAAGTACCTTCTTCATCTGTTGAGCTTTCTGAATTTGTAAATCTGTTGAAGTAACTAAAACCCGAAGATGGAGCAGGAGTGCTGTGAGAGCCTTCGCCGTTCAAGTCTGCCACACGGTTTCCCAATTCCTTGGTTGGTGTTTCCTAATGCAAACAAAACAGTTTAACCCTTTTGTACATGCAGTGTATCCATGCAGTTAGATGCCAGCTTTCCAAAATTTCTCATTTCCCTTTCAAATCTACCATTGAACAGAATGGCCTGCAAGCTCTTAGTTATAACCACGCAACAGAACTCTGAGTTCACTTTAAGCATATACACATACTTCCATTTTCTAAACAAGTTTTATCAACTCAATGCTAAAATGCATGCAGAAGTGACTATTTCAACATCATTTACAGTTAAAACATTTCATCTCCAATTGAACAGATATGGCTCCTTTATCAGCCATACACAGGCTGATATTGGTTTGGGTTTTTTTTCCTGCTTTAAAGCAGCCTACAGTCCTGCCTCCCAGCATTTTTTGTTGGCTTGCTTGCTCATTTTTGTACTCCTTAGCTCTAATTCAGGATGAAGAGGCTAATACTGCACGACTGGTACGTGAAGCAGCCAACATGTTAGAAATGGCAGGAAGGCTTCATAGTTCAACAACGGAGCAGTTTGATACATCTTATTTTTATCTTCCCCTTACAGTAGGATTATTACTCTACAGAACACAAAGAAATAAATACCACCTGTTTCCCACTGCAGATGACGACTCCTGGCAGTTACACACATCACCACCAGCATTTCCAAAGCCTGACAACTCGACTGTTCTTTTAGACTCACTGTACTGATGGAAACTCACACAACAGGATTGTATTTTAATGTTGTAGCAACTGCACAAGATTAAAAATTGATAGAGCAAATGGGAAACAAATCTAACCTTGGGCTGCACAAGCACATCAGTGTTATTTTATTGAATTTGAACAACACTGTATTAATAAAAAGTAGTACTGTCATCTAACTACTTCCCTCACCTTTTGATTATAGCTTAAGGTAAATTGTTTTGTGCTAATTAAGGCAAGATCCAGTGTTTTTACCTGAATAATAAACACATTCAAACTTAAGTCCTCACACTCCATTAACAGGTAGTCCACTTCCATAAAGCCACAACATTCCAGGAAATAAAATTACTAACAAAATCTAGTCCATAATATGCTGTCTCACACACCCAATTTAATCACAGTCTTACAAGCATCAGTGACACATGACTAAAACCAAGTTTCAATCTAGTGCATACAACCAGGGTTCAAAAAGCACTGGACATTTAGGACTTGGTAAGCAACCCTGTGCAAAGCAAAACTGCATTTGCAGTCACTGCAGCCATTCTATTGCCAGCATAAAACTGCACCTCGGCAGGAAGAAGTTTCTTTACACAAAGGAAGAACCAACATCACAAACAAGATCCAAGAAAATCAACTTGTAATAGCGAGCCCACAAGTATCATTGATCTATTCTCCCACTTCATGTTTAAAACAACCTTTTACTTCTCATTACAAAACAGATACCTGATCAAACAGATAGACCGTGACATCATCAAAGAACGTTACAGCTTTCTTCTCATTTTTCCAGTGCTCAGGTTGCCTTTCATGAAGAGGTTTGGGAAGTTTCAGTAAGCTTCTCAGATGTTTTCCATCGTCCTTGTCAGTAAGTATCTCGGGAACTTGGTGAACAGTCTCATCCTCACTGTCAGAACTCAGGCTGTGCATGTGGAAAGTCCTCATGTCATCCTCAGAATCACTGTTTTCATCTTCTTCATCTGCATCATCACCGTCTTCTAAATCAAGCATGCCAGAAACATCAAGCTTGCCAAGGTATTTTCCTTCAATATCCGGCTCTTTCAGCTTTTGTCCTTCATTATGGTAGAAGGGCTTCTCACTATTACTGGAATCTAAAGAATTGTGTATGTTATGCACAGCCTTAAAGTCTCTGTGTGAAAGAAGTTCTGACGTGTTGGTGCCAACGCAAGAGACGCTTTTACGGCAAGTCTCAGAGAGCTTCATTTCATCCCTCACATCATCTCCCACTGATATCTCCAGGGAATTCAGAGCTGCCTCAGTCCACTCCTCAGGACACCCCTGCACCCTTACACCCAGCTCTTGCATCTCTATCTTACGATTCAATTCAGGTTCTGTATTCTGAATACTGGTATCCTGGTAATTCCTTACATTGTGCTCTTGCGGTCTCTCTTCCAAACAGCAATCCTTCTCACTCTTATTCTCTCCTCTATTTGAAGAAGCACCACACGCAGTCTCCCTCGATAGATTTACAGTCTCTTCTGCTTTTTTGTCTGGCTCGGAATCATTATCAGAGAAATAGGCAGAGTCTCTATATGAATTTTGATTTGATAATGGAGTTATTTCGAAGTTGCTGTTCACTGCATCTAAGCAAGGTGCTGCTTCTGAAACAATGATGACTGGATTAGAAGGCAGATCACTGACACTGCTGTCACTGACCGCACACTGAGCGGTATCCCCATTGGAAGCATCCTCAACAATCACATGGGAAGTCCATTCTGGAGACTCCAGATTCTCTGTTTCATAGCCGCTGTCAGCAGGCTTATCAGGAGGCAAAAGTTTTTGAGGACTTTGAGCCTGTAAAGATTCCAAAACTTCAATTACATCTAAAGAATCCAAAGAATCGGGCGTCTCTAAGACTTGGTCGACAGTTTCCCTAGGAGATGGGCTGTCTTCCAAAAGGCTGTCCTGACTTGCGCAGTCTGAAGCACCAACAGAAATTAAGGTCACCTCTTCTGGAACATCCTTACAGTTCTCAAAATCACTTGATGTTTCTTGCCTTCCTTCTAACAAATCTTCATCTTTTTTGAATATGGGAGACTTACACTGCAAGTTTCTTTCTGCACCTTCCTGATCCCATTTTTCCCTATTAAGAGCTATTTCATCAGACTTGGACAGCACTCCCTGTTTTATTTGTGTATCACTCTGATCTGCTTCAGCAGCACTGCTGTAAGATGAATTCGTTCCAACATTATTATTTTTTGCATTATTGGACAGCTGTTGAAAGAAAGTATCAGTGTTACAGAACAAGGCTTGGTTGACTTCCACATTTGGAAGTTTCCCCTCATCCTTCAAATAAGCAAGACTCGTATCCTTATCGTGCAACTTACGCACTGCAGGTGGACTGGAGGATGCCGCTGTGTCTCCGCTAGTCTGAGACCGAGAATTCCTATCTTTATCCACTGCTACTGGGTTCAAGTTTTCGTCTTTCACAGCTCCAGAGTTTTCACGTATTAAGGAAAAGACCTGCACATTTTCAGCCAATACAGGCTCAGGCTCTACAGAGCTCCTACTTGAGGTTTCTAATACACTTTTTAGAACAGCTTCTGTTTTTTGCCCGAAATCACTGCTGGTTTTGTTAGACAGTACCCCTGTTAGTAAGTTTTTCTCTTGAAGAAACAAGAAGTTATCAGAAAGTTCTTCTAAAGTTACCAACTCAGACTGGCTAGAGATGTTTTCACATACAGAAACTGTTTTATTTTCAAAAGCATGACTAGAATGCTCTTTCTCACCAAAACCTGTGACATTTGTAACATCCGTGTTTGAGTTTGAAACGGTTGGTTTAAAGTCGTTAGGAAAATTATTTGTTTCAGCAAAACCAAGTATTTTTTTATTTGTTAATTCTTCTGATCTCTCAATGTCATTAAATATATTTTGGAAAGGACTTTCTGGACTACTGGTAGCAGGCAAAAATTCCTCTTTGGGATCTGTATTGTAGTGGAAGAAGTCCCCATCAGTGCTAGATTCTTCAACATCGAGATCCCTGAGAACCATGAAATGAGAACTTTTTTCTTGTACAGCTTCTTGATCCACTTCTGTAGTCAGTACAACTGATTGGTTATCGAAATTCATGCTGCAGCCACTACCTTTTTCCTCTAACTGGATATAGTAGTCGTTCCCAACTGAGAGTTTGTGTGCGTCAAACACAGGTAACACCCCAGGAACAGCCAGTGATGCTTCCTGACCACTTCCATCCTGTGCTCCTGGCCCCTGCTCTGAAAGGGACCTCTCAAAAACCTCCACTGGATAGAAAATACTCGTGTACGCCATTGCTTCATCAGGATTCACGTGACCACACTCATCAAAATGATCATGTTTAGCTGCCTCCCAGATATATTCAAAGCTGAGACCCTGGCTTGTTTCAGTTACAGTAAGAACTTCCTCCATCTCATGGCCAAGTCTATCTCCCGTGAAGTGATCTAGGATCGGAAATGCAGAATTATTTGTTTCTCTATTTGAGGTGTTTGGCTTGAGAGCGTTCCACTGCTGTTCAAAATCAATCTCCGAGTCCCTTTGGCTCTGCATGCGAAGGTAAGTTAGAAGTCTGTGCACTTCTTCTGCTGTTGGTCTCTTCTCTGGAGGTAGCCAGCAGAATTGCAGAACTTCATACCTATGCAAACAAGAAACGTGTTTCAACAGTTTCCACATGAAAAGCAATTTACAGTAATCAGATCATTAATGAGCTAAAGAGCAAAACACATTACTGACAGGAATTTGAATCTACAGCAGTTCCTCTCATTTTTCTCTACTGTTTCTTTGTCAGTAACTTGCCATAATTTCAACACACTTCTAAGAGAAATGGGTGATACAAAACATCTCCACCAGCTTTAAAAATAAGTTTAAAAAGTTGAAGTTTACCATCTATCAGAGTATGGCTGCTCCAGATGCGGCTTAAAAAGTTTCACCTGCTTCTCCTTTATGACATGGGTTAAGACCTCTCTGTCGGAGAAGTCCGAGTAAGGCTGAGCAGCATTCTCAAACAGCTCCCATAACGTCACACCCAGGGACCTGGAAAAGAGCAGCAGAATGACAGTACATTCCAAGAACTATTTTTAAATTGCTGTAAGAAAACAAGTGCTACACAAACAATTCACAAAAAACCACCAAACACCACTCTCCTATTGGCTCAACAGGAATGTCAGAATCCGTTCACTCATTTTAATTGCATTTGAAGGAAAGCTAGAAGCTCTTTGAAAGCAGTGCCAAGGAAGGTATTGAAACACAGAAGCTGCAAATGACTGATCTGTGGAAGAAACTCTTGCATATTAAAAAAAGTAACCTTATGGTCAGTACAACAGTGGGAAAGAAAATCTTTAGTCAAAAATTGCAGTCACAAGTTAGATCACTAGAAAGCAGATCTGTGTCAGTCTTTTTTAAACTACATCTTTGAAGCTGCAGAACTGGGAAGTGCTGTATTTGCTCAGTGCTACATGCTACATTAACCATATTTTCAGTGACTAAAGTTGATCCCAATTACCATAGAACTACTCAGTTCAGAAGAGGTCTCTGGAAGTAATCTAGTAGCAACTTGAACAAAACAGTTCTGTATAAAAGGCATTAAAATTTGGAATGCTTAAGGCCCTGGCTGCTGGTAGTTCAGATTAAGAATACAATCCAAGGAACTTTGCTTGAGGAATGCAAGAAAAAGTACTAAGATCATTTCTACACATCTTTCTGTAAACCTCGATTTACATTAAAAATAAAACAATTTATTGTTAATATCCTTGAATGCAAATGTTTTCAAGAACTGTCAGCCCAAGCCACAAATTCCATCCCTCAAATTTCCTTGGAATTCAAGGGGAACTGGATGACTTAAAAAAAAAATTCCTCATCAAGACTTTCTCCAGTCCCTCTGTAGCTCTTTGGTAACAGAGGCAGCTAACTGCAGCCCTCAAACATTACACCACGAAACATTTCTACCAATTAAACTTAGTTGAGTTCTAGTGGGATCAACTTCAGTGCGTTTTCAGATCACCTGCAGCTATTACATATTAATGCAAAAATTATTCACTACTTCCTTCCTCCACAAACTCTTGAATACGTTTGTCAAACAGAGCAGCTTTTTATTAATGTTTTTTTTCTGCTTTCTTAATCTGGTTGTTCTCACAGCACGTTTCTAAGCTGCTTTCCAAAGCAAGATGAAGTTTCAGATTTGTAGAGATTATCCTACCGTACATTTGATAAAGCCAACAAGCAGTGTACTTGGCCAACACTCAATTTAACTTTAAACATCATTTATTTCTTCATATAATCTTCGAAAATCTATTCCAAAATCTAACACTAAAATCATTTTTAAATTTGCTACATACCATATGTTACTGTATTTATTTTGCTCTGCTGATAACAGTTTGTCTTGAAAACTCGTTACTAACTCAGGTGCAGTCCAGCGGAGAGGAACAAGTTTCTTCCCATCTGTCTCAATATAATCTTCCTACAGTATTGAAGGAAAAACAACTGAAAAAACATTGAATCTACTCCCAGAACCTGACAAACTTTTCCTTAGCCTGGTTTTATGTGATCACTGTGTGCAAAATGGGAACTGAAATAAATCCCATTTTACCCAAGTAGCAGAAAGTGCTACAGAAGCAGCAGCACTCACTGCACAATAAAACCCAACACCAACTTCTTGTTTAGGATCTGCTACTCAAAACTTTTCAATGCATGCTTTTCATTTTTCACATTCTCAGTATTTTTAAGCATTTAAAACACTTTCTTTAAATGTCATTGCATTTTCTTTTCTTGAAATGTCAAAGTGAATTTTTGCATAACACCTGCCATTACCATTTTAGGACTACTGCACATTAACATACAAACACAGACATTTAACCTTAACGAGCAGTTTCTGTAAGCTCCACTTCTGGAAAAACCATCTATTCTGCTGCATGAGGCTTACTACAGCTCTCTGCCAGCTATACTCTGAACATCCAATAATCAAAGAAAAATCTACTATCAAATCACAACCTTAAAACTTTCTTGTTATGACCTCACGCTTCCAAACCCTTACAAAGAACTGGTAGGTGACCAGAGTAACTTACCTTGTACCTACTGAATCCTATACCATAATCTCCTACTTTGACATTTAAATCAGACGTAAGAAAGCAATTTCGTAAGGCCAAGTCGCTGCAAAAGCAAGCAAATAAATAGTGAGTCTTCAACCCAAAGAGAGACCAACAGGTTAAAAAAAGGAATGCTTTAGAGGAGTCAGGCCAGAACTTGGAGTATCAGATGAAAAAAGCCATCCTCCAAAGGTAACCAGTTACACACAGGTACACGCTACAAGAGAAGCAGCAGGATGCACCCAGTAACCAGCCACGTGGGGAGATTCATTTAAAAACTACAATTTTGAGCCAAACTAAATGCGATGATGGTTACTTTTACATACAAAGCCTAAAATATTAGAAAGCGACTTCAAATCAACAGTAGATTACATTGGCATGATTATACTACTGCAGGCTAAGACTAAATTATCAGTTTAAAAGCCTGACAGAATTCACACTGTCCTTTACAAACGAAGTCCAGGATGTCACGTGTGGTGGTGAAGGACCCTCCTAGAAGCCCAGACTGTCACAAATACATGCAACCACTGCATTCTGCTTATTCTACAATGCAGATCACACAGGACTGTCACAGACTGGAACAACGTCTGCCCCATTCACCCACCTGCCACTGCACGCCTGCCAGTTTCACTGTCAGAAGCAAAGGTTACCAACAACTCACAGCAGGTTTAAATACCTACCAACTTACAATATGACACTAAGCAACTAGTGCTATGTTACCTTCACAGCTAAATTCCTCTGAATAGCAGTCATGCATTACATTTGAACAAGAACTATGTGTCTGACAAAGACCATCAGAAGTACTCATGCATTTCATAGAAGCTCCTTTAATAATCAAATCCAAGTTCCTTTGGTAAAGGAAACAAAAGGCTCTTGAAAACACACTTGCAGTTTCTGCCCAGACCACAACCACTCTCAGCCAGCAGTGCTGCTGGAACAACATGAAGCTGCCTCAGCCCACCATGCAAACTCAGAAATCAGTGCAAGTGTAATGGAAGCGCACCACAAGAACTCTACCACTGCTTCTGTGTGCATTGAAAGCAAAATTTCCCCAGTGCATGCTCTAGAAACCACATGATCTCTTTACTTAAAGGAAGAAGGAATTATTTTTCCTTCTAGAATCACTGCGTTTCACAGGACAGAAGCCCTATGTAAGCTTGAAGCACACCCCAAAGCTCTTCAGTTTATTTCACACTACTTAAATAAATATCCTAAGAGGACAGAAATGCATCTTCAGCTGCTTGAATTTACCACTAACAACAAAATCACTGATGCTGGAGCTTTACCACTTACTCTGACAGCATCAGGATAGTGCTGCTAGAAGTAAACATTTACAATGATACTTTTGCAGATCCACAGAATAATTCATCAACTTTAAGTGTATTTAACTGAAAATGCCTTGATAGAATGCAATACCTACAAAGCCACGCTGCTGCAGTACAAGGAACAGCCATCAGTCACTGTAGTAGGCAAACTGGTACGACCTTCAAGTCATTTGCAGCGGTTAATTAAGATGTTTAACAGTGCTCAATTTTGTTGCTGTTTTATGCCATCACTTTAAGAATGAAGTTTAATAGTTTCCCCTAAACAGCACAGTGTGCACTGACAAGTTCTAGCACAAGTCCTTGATTTGCTTATAGAGATGATGGAAGTTGTATTTCTACGACCAAGAACGGACTGACCCAGAACCACCACCGCCAGGAAACAAAGCTGTGACACTAATGGTTCCAGGTAAGGCACATTTGGGGAGCAACTACTCCAATACTTGAGTCACTCCGAGTCTGCAGGGGATGTGTTCCAGCTCCTTCATGTGTCTTTAACCATGAGCCCTGGCATAAGTCAGAGCAGTTAGTTTCACAAACAGATTTTTTTCAGACCTCTTACAACTACTGCATTGTTCCCCAGTAACTGCACCATCTTTAACTACAAGTCAAGAAATTCTGGATTTCTCCCCCCAGACACTGAAACGAATATTCTCTCTGCTTATGGTCTCTACCAATTCTGACTAGCTCACTTCTGACGATCGAGAGGCTGCATGAACAGTGATTTAGTGAGAGATACCCTGCTTCAGATTTTTTCATTTTATCTCAGCTTCTCTCTTACTACATCAAGAAAGCAGCGACTTTCATGTTTAGTATCAAAGCTAATATGCTACCAAAAGTTCTACTTTGCTGTAAGCCATCAAAGTACAGTCAGACCTATCAAAATTCTAATTACACCCTCCCTTCCCAACAAAAGTTATTTAACTTGTCTAGGAATTAATCAAACCACTGTGTCTTCTGCACTGGCTTTGCAGAAAGCTGTGCTGTACGGGCTGCAGAGCCCAAAGGCAGGTGGGGCTGCACAACCACACCAACCAGCACCGCCTTCATGACTTACAGCACACAAATATGGACAAAACAGTCTTGAGCACATGCTCCTTTCAGTGAAAATATCCATATGAATTCTGAAGCACATCCTAAGTAATTGATTTGGAAAACATACCTATGCACAAAATTATGTTTATGCATTACAGCAAGTCCAGCAGCAATCTCACATGCCATTCTCTGTAGCAGCATGATTTGTGAATCTCCTCTAATGTGGTCCTGCTCATTGCAGATATAAGTTTTCAGGTCACCCTGTAAAAGACATTGAAAATACTGATCAGTGCTGTGCATTGAGTGAATCTCAAAAGTATTTAATGAAAAGCCACCTAACAACAAAGCTTTATCAGTCAACAAGGCTAGCACTAGATACAAACACATCTGTGCTTAATAAAGAATCTCAAGTTTCCCATCACCACCAGGATACTTAGGGAAGTTATCCAAGGCAGATGGTACATCCTTTTAAGGGTTTTTAAATCACATCATTTAGTAATTAACAGCTACATTACCACAAAAAAAACCATAACTGTCAAACAGTAATAGCTTCCAGTAAAAATATGAGGAGCTTCTATTTTTAAACAGGATAAGTCAAAATTGCAAGTGCTCCCATTCAGCAAAGCTGACTGGAATACACAAGGGGATGGGAGGGAGAGGCAACAGTTTCCACCATTGCTGGCTCATCAAAACTGCAGGGACAAAAGAGCACAGTAATACAGCCCACTCCCATCAAGCAAATGGCTTCAGAAGGCATTTTTGTTTTAGAAGAAAATGAATTGTATGGAAGATGCACAATACATTCCATCAACTTATTTCATTGGTGTAACATTGTGATTGGGCTCTAACTGCACGAGTCACCTGTGCCTCAGCTTGGACTTGGAGGGAGAGTGAAAGGAGGTCTTGAGGGTGTATAGACAAGGCAGCAGTCTATGCACTGCCTAAAATGTGCTTCTTTACAGAAGAGCAAAAATCACTACACTTAAGTATTTAAACACATGTAAGCACACATCTGCCTTTCCACCTTGCTTGAGCAGAGCTCAGGACTCCCAGATGAGCAGAGTCCATAACAGATCCCCTATCCCACAGCACAACACACCCAAAGTCAGCCCTAGGTGGCAGCACGCTGCTGAGGAAAGGCAAACTATCAGTTGGGAAACCGTCCTCACTATTAGAACAGCAACTGCCTGCTTACAGGTTGTCCCAGTTGCATTAAGTTCCTGGGATGCCTCTAGGTGCACAAAGGAATTACTTTTTAATTTTTAAATGCATTAGTAGCAGCAGTGCTGCGTGGCATCCCCTCGTTAGTAAGTAATTCATGTAGACACACATTCTTATAGGAAATACTACTTGCACCAAATCTAGCATCTCAAATCATATCTGTTGTTTTCCCCATCCTATTTAGAGCAACATTCAAGGGTGAAATACAGAATTGCTTTTTGGTATTGGTTTAAGATAATACTTATGCCAAACCTGGGGGATACTGATGAATACCTTCAAGTGCTGGACTGCCACCCGGATGGAGCTGCACAGGCTGGAAGAAGGGCTCCTGTACCTCCTGGTCTGCAATGCTGCTTCAAGCAGGAACCTGAACTGGAGAGCTCCTGATGTTCCCTTCCAGCCTGAATTATCCTACACCTCCCTGCCTACCAGCAGACAGCAGCAATGCAACAACAATATTCATATTATATGAGCCACAAAACAGCCCTTCATTGGACAGAGGTTTTTAATGCAGTAAACTTCAAAGTTTACACATTTGAGTAAGTACTGCTATGCAAAATTCCCTGCTCAGATACCTAAATCGCATTTCAGGAAGGCTCCTCTCTTTTCTCTTGGGAATCAATGAAGAACTAGATTATACTTTTCCTTCCAACCCCTCTCAGTTCTAGCCAGGATCAGTTCAGCCTTCTCCGTAAAGCAGCCCACAACATAGTGAGACTTATTCCTACCACCGCCCAACCACTAGAAGCCAGGGACATCATTTATCTGCAATATTCTTCTGTAGCTTTCCAGGCTGTGCAAGTCCACAAGGACACCCAAACAGCTGATGTGACTCTTCAAACCAGCAGGTACTGACAGGAAGAGTTTGAGAAGTGTAAAGAAGTTGCCAAACTGTGCCCACACAACACTCCCCACCAGCTGGAAAGCTACCTGCCAAGCCACACAACACCACATAATTAAGAGCATGAAAATATTACTTCTACCTCTCTACTCCTCCAACACTGCTCCATTGCAAACGTACCTGTAATGACTGCTGTTAAAATATTTGAGAGTGGTGTACACTATACATCCTTCACATCCTTAGAAAGTTGTTACAGAATATGTAAGTTTAAGAAATATTAAGCAGTTCTCAGAACAAGTCGTCTTTGGACCCAACAGACATGATTTCTGATGCTGCCAAAATCTATCAACCCTCCATTTTTCTCTAGTGATTATTAAGCAGATTGTTGAACTTTGGGTAAGTTTTCGTTGCAAAGTTGTTTTTTTATTATTATTATTTGAGAACAATGCTTTCAAGTGGCAGTAATCAGAAAGGCCAAACAAAAGAAAGAAAACTACTGCAGGCAGGCACCTCCCAGTAACAGCACCCCTGAAGCAAGCCACTGGCATTCTGAGCAAAAGCTGCATGCTGCTGATCTCATCTGCCTGGGGAATTGTAAAATATTTCTTCAAGATCCATTAGACAGGCAAATCAGCCTCAGCATATACGTGCTACCTCCACATTTGAATAACTTTCCCTTACTCATAAATTATGTCCACTCATTAGAGGAGTTGCTGTGCTGACAGAATGCTGGCCATGCATGACCAAGTAATATATCAAAGTTAATAAGCCAGCTACCACTATTTTTAACCTGGCTCCTTTCTACAGCCTTTGATAGCTGGCTAGTAAGACAGCACTAACACACTAAGCAACCTAATGCAGGATCTTTGAAGAACTTGTTATTTCTTCTGATAATTGTCAATTAACAAAGTTAAACAACTGTAATACAGATGAAGAAAAATTAAGACTTAAGCCTTCCAATCATGTATGCACAACTGCCTGCTTGCTTCTTGCTCAGCTCTTTAAAACAAGGGATGCAGAGCAGCTTGGATTACAGCACAGAACATGCTAAAAGCTAGCAAATGTAGCTACTGTGTATACAACCAGGCTGTCCTGAGGAACAGAAATACCTTGAGGAGCTTTTATGGCCAAGAAAACAAGTTACTGAGCTCAAGCGCATTCAGTGCTGCTACCATAGCAGTCAGCTCTATCTGCACTGCAGCTTCCAGTGCTTCTGATCATCCTTCTGGTGTCAAGGACCCTGGGAGCTGCTATACTCAACAGGGCTACCTGAGCAGCAGAGCCAACATCAAGAGGCCCCATAAAGGCTACAGATCCATACAGGAGAAGTTGCAAAAAGGAGAGATTCTATGATATCCAGTGATTTTGAAGGAGCATGAAGAAATCGCCCTATAGACACAGCTCTGAACAGCAGACACTTCTCATTACTCAGCATACCAACTTGCAAAGAAAAATCCGCATGCCTGGAAGAACCTCAAAGAGCTTGACATCTGAAGAGAGCTTCCTATACAACCCAGCCGACATATTCACTGCCTTTATACTAAGCCATCTCAATCATATCAAGCACCATAGATCAAAGCAGTTTTTTTTTGTGGTTGTGTAAGTACATACAGCACCAGTAACACCAGGTGAAGAGCTTCAGCACAGCACTATACTGCAACCAGAAGAACAGCACGTCCGCCATCCTCATTCTTTGAACAGCGCGCAGCCAGCAGACGCTGGAACCTTCAGCCAACCTCAACAGCCTCCTTTCTTACAGCCTTCCACCTGAACAGCTTCATACTGGCACATTTTGGAAGCACCTCCATACTCACTGGACTGCCCAATTTCAGGGAAAAAAAAGCTACAGAAAAATCTCTCACCTCTGGTAAGATCACTTACTAGAGCCCTGAAAAATCCAAGTAACTGCCATCCCAATCACAATAATAAAAGCAGCTTTTAGAGTATAGCCCACTGAAAATAAAAATGAATTATCATCAAACAACTGTCTACAAAGGCAAAATACCTATCTTTTAATTCCAAACTGTGCTGTCTGCCTTCCTGCACATCCCTCCCTCCATCACATCTCTTGTCCCCCAGCACTTCAGTACTGCTCCCTCCCACAGAGGCTCAAACACCACTACAGAAGTCAGTGATAGAGATAACTGAGCTAACACTGCACTCAACAAAATCTCTGCATACAGCTATTTTGAGTGAGCTCCACCTGGCCTGCCCAGCCCTGTGTATTTGTGCACACAGTGAATAAAGCACCATCATCTCCAGCAGATACTCAGTTCTGCTAAGTATGAACACTTCAGGTGAGCCAGGCTTTCAGTATGGAAGTCACGTACAACACACTACAACACAGAACACTCTAAAAAACAAGTTTTGGTTCACTCTGAATAGAGTAAGCAAGACATCTATTCTCCATTTCACTGACATCCAGCTACACACAAATGTACAGAGCTGCCGTTCTGGCTGTCAGGCTTACTGCCCCCAGTTAAAGTGAAAACCTATTTTATCTCCTTAAGTCAAATCCTTTCCAGATTACTCTGCAGGATCATGACAATTTTTGGCACTAATTATCAGGCAAACCAAGATTTTTTAAAATATATACTTAAAGTATGGCAATCTTCACGAGTGACTCCAAATTCAAAATCAGATTAAAACATGTAAATATTTAAAATCATGGCAGTAGTTAAATCTGGTTAAATATTTAGATGTGTGTCTACTAACAAACCTTATATTCTTTTTAAAAGTCCTTTTAAAAGAAACTACAGCTCGAGTGCCAACTCAAAATCAGTACAATGTATTCCAGTCCTGCACACTGAAAAAAACAAACACTGTCTGCTTCACCTTCAGCATGCACTTTGGAGACCAAGACCTAACAATTCACCCTGATCAACCATTCCAATTCTTTCTCCCATAAGAAAAAAAAAGATTTTATCAGCAATTCTGTCTCATTGGTTCACCCAGCCCATAAAATACCATTATTTAAGGCCACAGATTGATGTTTTTACAAGAAAACTCAAAGTTCGTGCCCCCACTGATTTAAAATGCCTGAGGCATGCAGTGCAACTAGAGCCCTATTTGTATGCCTCAACTTAAAGAGAAGCTCTGTAGTGGTAAAGCAGGTGAAGGACCACACTGAATTTTATAAATACAAACTCTTTTCTTCTCAAGGACTTAGAAACACACATAGTCACCTCTGAGACCATTTCTGCCTTAACATTTTTCAACTTGGCGTTCAATATTTAGACTACAAACGCTAAAAGCAGCTATTGAGCCTATTTTCAGACAGCCACCTGCAGCTCCGAGGGGTTTGTCTGTTTTGTTTTCAATACTGTGCTGCGCTACAATAAAGCCATTCAGGTTCCACCGCCACGTCCAAATTTTAGTTTGTGAGGTGAACAACAGGCACAGCCCCCAGGTCCCACACACACAGCATCCCCTTCGTCACAAAGCTCGTGCAAATCCCAGCACGTGCCCAGGAAGGCTGTGACTGAGCAGGATGTTTGTGCAGTTACCCCTCCCATCTCCAGTGGCCTTTGCAGCAGCAAGAGCAGCACAGAAAGCAATGAGCCCACCCTCACTGCGCTCTTAGCTCTTCTAAGGTGTCCAGGAAGCAGTGCGAGGTAGATGCCAATGTTGGGAAGGAAGGGAAAGAAAAGGACAAGAAAGTAGGAATGTGAGTTAAAAGAACACAGTAGCAGAAAGGATCAGTAAGAGCTCAGGATGACACTGAAAACTCCAACTACTGGAGTACAGTCATTACAGATTCTGGAAATCAACACAACATCCAATTTTAGCTGCATGGCACAAGTAAAATTTGGGCACTCTGGAGGGGGGAAAAGGCAGGAGGAAGGAAATCCTTCCAGTTCCTTCAATTAATATTTGCTTAGGAGTCATATTTATGGCATGTTAAAGTTTCACAGACAGCAAACAAAATTTAGTACGTGAGCTTAGGACGTGACTGAGCATGTGTGTGACACTGGACTGCAATAGGAAGTGTTGTTCTACGACCTCCTTTCACCTCCAGGCTCCCTGTTACATGACATAGGTAGGCACAAGAGACTAATAAACTCGTCAGCAAAGAAAAGATAGATCAGCTAGTTTCTTCCTAAGAACATTCCACAAGAACCCATGATTTCTATGATAAATAAAAAGAAATTTAAAAAGCTGCACTTCTGCCATTTGCCCCTGAAGCAAAAAAGTGTTTTCTGAAATTCTGGTTATTTGAAAAAAATTCCCTGAAGGAAAAGTAAGAATACTTCCGTGAGTAAATACATGACACAATATTTACACTAACAGAAAAACAGCAGCAGCCTTCTGTACAAGTGCACTTACCAAGTCACAGAACTCAAAAACCAGGAGATAAGGAATGGCTTCCACACATTGCCCAATACACTGGAGAACATTTGGATGCTGAAGAATGCTGCAGTGAAAACACAGTTGAAGTCAGAAAGGCTACAGTATTCACTATTTTCAGTATAACATAACACACTGAAACCTCAACTGCAAGTTTCAATACAGAACTGGAGGCAGCATGAACAGAAGGTGCAAGCATCCAAAGACAGATTCTCTTTGCACCTTTATATCCACTCTGTACTGTGGCAGCAAATCACTGAAAGAGGCTGAAATGTGCAGGATAGCAAAACCACAAAACCGACACTGCCACAAACAAGTCACTCCTCTGCTCCCACCCCCAGCATTCCCTCATACTAAAACTAAATGTTCATGCACTATGCTTAAGGAACTGATCTGGCTAAAAGCTAAACCTTTCTGTTAGCCAGGGTAGTTCCCAGACAGATCAGTTTCCTCTTCTAACTTTCATAAAAAGCACTCGTGCCAATGCAGCAGAAGGCATGAGATTTCATCTTCTGACAGCTGCCAACAATTTAAGCCCAAATGCAAACTAACTAGAGCAAGAGAAGGAACTGAGAGAAGAAAGCTCTCCATCACCCTCATTTGTAGCACATTTAGGCAAGATAAGCCACACCTTAAGGAATGCATGATACTCCTTTCTCTATTCCACTCATCCATAGAGCTCTCTGGAGGACTCTCATCATTTCCAAAACATAAGAAGAGAAATTACCCTCCCTTTAGCATGCACCAAACTCCTCTCTAGTAGGTAAAGACCCAATTTCAGGAAGCAAATCGTACAGAAATCTTTCAATCATAACACACAAGGAAGAGAGCACCAAGCACTACTATTTTGTTAGCATTTTCTTTCAGACTAACCATTCCTGAGCTGTGCAGTACTACTGGACAGAAGTTAATGCCATTCTGAGTGCTTTATTTCTGCACTGCAAGCTTTGGGAGCAGAATTCGTTTTAGCACTATGCTGTATTTAATTTTTTTGAATATGGAAACTTCAAAAACTTAACTTACACATGGTAACACAACACACTGCCAGTTCTACCTCTAACAGGAAGTCCAAGCACAAGACTTAAAGCTCAGTTCTTAGAAGCAAGTACTTAGACATAGGGTTGGTTTGCAACACCAGGATTTTTCTGAACAGCTGCAGCAGAATATCTGATAAACCAAAGTGTTTTCCAGTCATGAACAAATAACTACCAACCATTTAAGCAAAGAACTCATTATCTAAGCAAACTCAAATCTTGTTCATTTTGGATCAGTTGTATTTCACACCTTAGAGACAAGAATTTAATTTGTAAGAAAGGGCAAGCAGAGAAATAAAACTTAAGAACCTGTGTAACTCATAAGCAGTAGCATGAAGTGCTTGTGGTAACCAAGTTACAGAATATTACTTACTAGTATGGCTCTCCACTTCTTAAAAACTGTTCTTGCTCCTTGAGACCCGCACTTGCTTTTAGCTCCTTCACTATCACTCGTGCCACACTACTGCCTGTGTAGATTTCTCCAAGCAGAACCTGAAAAATTATAATCACTGTGCCTTTAATCAGAGGCCAAAAAAATGAGTTTCTCTACAAAAAGAAACAAGAGCTAAAAACATATTGCAACACAGATTTTCTGGCTTGTCAATGCGTGTAGATGTCCATACTTCATAAATCCTGACAACTCATTACCCATTCATTTTCAGAAGACTCCCCTTCTTGTGAAGAGCATTTATTTACTTAAGACTTTTTCCTGGAAAGCATTGGCAGTAACAGAATGCATGAATTCAATTCGATGGAAGTGAGATCTGTAGATACTAAATGGCTTTGTAAGAAGCTACGGGTAAATTAAAGCAGTAATAATCACAGCTAAAAAGTGCAAGCAAACCTCATTTCTAATGCTATTACTTTGAAGGAAATACACTAGTCTAGTTACTTTGGACTATAATTCTAACTGCAGTACAATATTAGAAACTTCTCACCTTTCCAAACCAGCCATTTCCAATTTCCTGGATGTAGTTTAGACTCTGACGTGCAACTTGAGACTTTGATCCATCTGTCATACACAACAGAAGAAAGGTTAGACACACCAAACCACTCAGATTGCCAGTTATCCAACAGTGGAGGAAACAATACAAGCTCTTACAATATTTATTCCCAATGATACGCACACTTTCAGGCTGAGCACCAAAACAGACACAGGCAAGAGTGAAGGTAACGTTGTGACAGTAGTGCTGGGGAGAAACTTCTCAGCTTCCAAACCACTTGTACTACAGAACCCCACTGCCACCACAGACTATCCTTACACACACACACACACACACACACACACACACACACACACACCTTTCTAACACGTTCAGTAAGAAAGTTGAATTGCAATCCCAACATCATACACCATAGTTGGGCAAAGCAAATAACCCACCCAGAAAGGTTACCTATGGAAACAGAATAAAAACTAAAACACTCACTGCTTCTACATTTGAACAGTTAAGTTAGGGTGACCATTTTAAGAGAATAGGTTAGACTGCTTTATTCTTCAGCCCAGCTGCCCTACTTACAGCTACCATCTGGAAGGAGGACACTTTCTGACTAAAAATAATGTACATAAAGAACAGAGGCAGAGGACAGAAAACAAGACAAAAAATCCTGGCAGAGGATGGACAGCAACAATGGCAGACTGTACTATAGAAGAGATTCAGCAGTATTTACCTCTCTGCTAATTAGCTAGAAATACCAATAAAGAGACTTAGTCTCTTTTTCCTTTTTTAAACAGAAATTGTCTTAAGGAATACATTCCCAAAATTCTTTCACATAAGCAAACTAAAATGTCCTCTTAGCATTACCACATCTACAGCATGAGAAGCTCACAGTGACACTACGAAAGTGATGCAGCCCACACAGTAGCACTGCTGTCAAGTAAGAGATTTACTCTTGCTCCCATTTAAGGCTAATGGATAAAATCCAACGACAACTCAGCCATGAAGAGAACTACTACAGAGCAGTAGTAACATCCCAGAGCAACTGCAACCCCTGATGTGACACGTAAAGCAAGGAGTCTAAGCTGATTCAAGCCACACTCCTTCTGTTCAGCCACCCTGCAAAGCACCCGCTCCAAGGTAAAGCACAGAGATTTCATCCTGTACCCCAGATAAATTTACTCAGTTCACATCTGTAACAGTCAAACCTGCACAGCAGGAAGTCGAGCACGATCAGCTACACAGTGCTGGAGAATAAATTCCCTACTTCTCTTTTCTCAGTGTAAAATTTATCTTACCTGCACGAGATGGAAACTGGGATGGAGTTGGTAAAGCAATACTGGGAACTGAAAGAGTAAAAACTTCTGCTGGAGACTGAACAGACGGAGTATCTTCTGCTGGGGGCGCGAAATCTATTTCATCATCAAAGTTATCTTCAAATTCCTGAAATAAAATCTCGGTAATTAAGCTAATATTTGGCTTAAAATTAGCACTGCATTTCTTCTGGTTTGCTATCCGAATCCACAAACCAGACTACAACAAGGTAACCGGCTGCAGGTGAAAACAAACTAGGATCCAATACAAAGGGCTTCATTTTAAGGGCAATAACCTGGTAACATGAAAAGGAACCTAAAAACCTGAAAAACTGTAAATCACCAACGTTTAAAGGAATTGCACTGCCTCTGAACACACAGTGCCAAGGAGGCTCACATCATTACTAAGTGACAAGCCTTTTTTTTTTAATTATTTCGTTTTCTTACCTTCGATTTATTACTGACTTAAAGACAACACTTGATGCTTACATTTCTTTATCAAAAATAACTTAGGTTTTTCAGGGCTTTTCCTTATTCACTTTTTTCCATATATACATTTTTAAGATATATTTCTAGAAAAAGAGCCACACAAATTTATGAACACCAATAACTGATTCCAGAAGAAACTGCTCTCTGCTAATAAATTCAGTATGCTTACTACACTGGATATGCATCTTCAGTATCACCTGAGAGGAATATCTTAAACCCTATCACCAGACTAAAAGTAAATTAAAAGAAAAAACAAGCCCAAAAAGGGTTCTTTATAGTAAAACTGTCTCAAGCCTACACTTTCACTATTGATCTTAATAGACATCAATGATATTGACAAGGCCGGGACACTGACTGCAGCACAGACTGAGTGCTCATACAGTCACAGCACTATGCCCAGTGTTCAGACAGCTGGATATTCAGAAGAGAACACATACAGTGAGGCAGAAACACCAGAATGCAGCTGCCAATATCATGTGCATGAACATTTCTAACTTGAAGTCCTACCTTGAAATCGATCTCTGGGTCTTTGCAGCAGGAGACACAGTTTGCAAGCAGTACCACCAGGACTACCAGAGCACAGACAGACAGAATGGCAAAAGATGAGGAAACTTCAGCTGCCGCTCCTTGTCCTGGAAACAAGCACGAATGTAGTATTACAGAAATACCCTGGGGTCAGAAGGCGCTGCTCCCAAATATCCTACCCACCCGCCAAGGGTTTCAGCTTAGCCCTGTGGAAAGGATGAACGTAAAAGCAAAGGGAAGGGGCCAACCCTCCTGTGCACAGCTGCACACAGCTCAGCCGCCTGCCCGGCACACAGCCGGAGCTCCCACAGCCCCAGCACTGGGCGGTGGTGAACAGCAGCAGCCCCAAACGTCAGGACTCCATCTGATCAACTGAGAGATGACTACACACGGACAGGAGAGATCCAGGCCGCTGGGGTTGGTTCCAGTGAGCTACAAACCCTGCCTTAAAAAAAAGGTAAGCAGAAGGAATCCTCACGTGGGCTGTGTATGGATATACAGAGCACTACTATAAGGCACTCCTGTATCTTTCAATGAATGCATGGCAACCACAAGTTGCTTTCACAAAAGCAAAATGAATCTAAACACCTCCACTCCGCATTTCCATTTCCCACCATTCTTCAGGTGATTTGTCTCCATCTCAAACTAAGATGTACTCTCGAACATTTTGGTTATCAAGCCTGAAGTCCATGTTTTACACAAGTTACACTCTGCCAGAACGTGACCATCTCTTTACATGTCCAGGAATAAAATGTACTTCCTAACCTTACACAACTTCTGCAACCCCCAAGAAAAGGTGAACAGCAGCCAACCGGAAAAGGTAATGAAGTTAAAAAAAAAAAACCAACCAAACAACACAAAGATCACCTTTGAATGAGATGGTTCATTAAGATGGAAGGCACCCAAGCTTCCAAGAATGCAGGGAAAACATTCATACACAACACTTAAAAAAAAAGCTTTAATGTAAGAAAAATGCTAATTATCATGGGCAAGTTCCTGCAACACTTACAGAATAGCATTTTATGACTCACACAACTCAGCGCTGCTTACCAAGAATTACAGAATCCATCTCTATTTGGATAAGCTTTGAAGGCACTGTTATAGTCATTAAGAAGTGGGTTTTTTTAATTTGCACTTTTTAAAAAGATGAATGCAAAATTAAATATGAAATGATGACAACCTATAATTGAAGTAATTTATTTTTTTATAAGTGAAGCTATTTTAATGCCTTGCATAAATACATATTCAATGATGGGAGTCACTGGTTGAGCACAGGCAGCACAATTTGACACAGTGCTGAATGATCCGCAGTCAAACCTGGTACCTGTGCAAGTAGATGAAGACACAGAAAAAGCAGCAATGATAAATGATGCAGGCATCCTCAGAATCAAGCATAGGCATGAGAACACACCTCAGTACCAACCAGCAAGCTTCGGGAGGGGAGGGAATAAGGCTTTCATACCAGGCCCAACTCAAAGCAATGTGTATAGCTCAGGATTCTGGATACCTTCAGTTGACTTTCTTCATAGGACAGCAGACTCATCTGCCAAACACAGCAACTAAGCCAACAAGTTGGTTTCTTGCCTGCTTTAATTCATTCTTTGCCCAGATCCGCAGCAAACCCCCAACCCCTGCCCCAGGCACAGCAGCACCAGCCCACAGGAGCAGGACAGGACCAGCAGCACTGCCTGCCTGCAGCAGGGACAGCCCTGCCATTCTTCCCTCACCAGTTACCAAAAGTCACTGAGCACAAGCCTGGCCTCTCCCAGATTTGCTTCAGTGGGATTCATCAATTAAAGTCTCACACCTTCATGAAACTGGGCTTTAAGTAAAGAAGTGACAGCACCACACTGCACATTTCTAAGCCTGGGGGACAAACAAGTTGTACATGACAAACATCACAGAGCACAATGACAAAAGACACTCACTGCCAGGAGAAAGGCAGAGCACACCACACATGAAGCATCTTAGGGCACAGCCAACTTCAAGGCAGCATCTGATTTTCAGCTTTCAGCACAGTAGTTGCTATGCGACCACAGCCCCGCTGCAGAAGGCAGAGGCTCTCCTCTCAGGAGCAGCGGCGGCAATGGCAGCTCTCACTGATCACTGCAGCTATTCCCAGCACCAATCCAGATGACAGCACTCGCTGACACTGACTCTTCAACACCACCAAACTACATCAGGAACCACGATGTTACTTTATGACTCCAAGTCAGAGCAGAGCACCTTTACAGCACTAAGGAATGACCGTCAGTGCTCTGCTCCCCTGCTACCTCCATGGCACCTGTTAAACGACACCACCCTTACTTGTGCTATTCATAGATATTAACGCAACCAGATTAAACATACAAACCTCACTACATCAGTGTTGTATTACAAGCATGAGTTCAAAAGCTCCCCTTTTCCAAAATAATGCTGTCATTCTCTTCTGTGCTAGCTATTAGCTTGTAAAGGGCCGGGTGGGAGTGGAGAACGCTTCCCAAGTCAGATTCAGAATGCCATCTTTTCCCACTAAGGGTCTTTCCTACATCTGCTCACTCTGTGACATCTGCAGGGCTGCTGCACAAAACCAACACGGACAACCCAGCCTAGGAAGGCCTAGAGGTGAAGGTCTAAGACTAAAACAAAGGCCTGCTGCTGCAAACAATCCTACATGTACCCATTGTGCAACCCAGTCAGGATGACACCATAAATGCTCAGCATGCATTACAACTCCTTTATTTCACCAAAAAAACTTCATCTGCTAATTTCATCAGGCCATGCATTCCATTCATCCCAACTTTTTCTGCTATGCTCCATTTAACAGCCAAGCCAAACAACAGCACTGTCTTTGAGAAGGTTTCAGCAGACATTTGTACAGCACTCAGCTGTGCGATGCCACATTACAGTGGACTTTACAGTGAATCAGAATTGCATCAAATCACCACTAATCCTCAACTGAAACACAACAAGAGCAAAGTTTTGAAGGACTGTTACTTACATTTCAGACTGCTTTTTGAAAGGTGACAAGGTGAATCTTAGGAGGGGAGGCACTTAACAGGCCTCCTTTTTCCAATCAGCCATTTGATTTGAATGGCCATTACCAATACAGCAGGAAGGAACATTCCCAAGACTCAGATGGCTTTCATTGACTTGATGCCCTCAGCACAATGCCAGCACCTTCAGGAAATCTAAAACTGGTTGCAAATGTCTGAATTAATTCAGATGATTCCTTCATTGTGCAAACTGCAAAGAACTGACGCACACAACCCCCCTTGCTGAGCATTAGGCAGGCTCCTACCTGACATATGGACATCTTGGCTTTCAGATTTTCAGCGTGTTGCCATTCAAAGAAAAGCCAAAAGTTTGAAAGCAATAAAAATGACACTGAACAAAACGTGGAGAATTCTACTACCTGAAGGGAGTTATTTCAAAATCCTCCTCCTCTCAGCATGCTGTTATTATCCTTGTCTCAAATAAGGCAAAGTCTGCATAGCTAACCAAAGTAACCTTTGCTATGGATGACATGACAAACACCTCTTTAGACAGCAGCACTTTATCACCTGATTTTCTTTTCCCTTCCTCCTTACACCAGCAGAAAATGCCAATAGCCACCCAGGAAAAGGAGCTCTTACCAACCTCAGGAGCGCCACGCAAAGTACTGATACACACACAGTTGTACTTTGTCTTTCTGAAGACAAGAGGCAGCAATTAGTTGTTTGTCAGAAAGGAATTCCTGCCTAAGCCTGAATTGCCTTCCATGGCCTCAATCAGTCTCACACTTTGACAAGAATAAGAGGACAAAAAAATTCATCAGTAGTGAAAAAAAAAAAAACGCACACAAGTTATTCAACTACTTACTGGATTTTTCTAGACAGGAATTGAAACGCTTCACCCCCCTCAACTGAACTCAGCCATGACAATCCCAGTTCTCACCCTACAACATTACAGGTCCTCCATGGGAGGAGCAGGCAGGGTGAAAGCCTGGGACACGTGCACAGCCACTGCTTTGGAAAAACCACCAGCTCTTCTCCACATCAGCTCATCTCCAGAGACAAAAACAAAGACAGCAAACGGCAACTTTCTGCTGACCTTTTCCCAGGAGACAACCAAATCTTTGCCCTCCCTCCTAAAGCCCCACAAACAGAAGCCAGTTTCACAGCTACAGGTGTTCTGTGGACACGTAACCCTGACATCATCACGTCCTATGCATCCATTCAAGAAGAATTATCAGCTGCTTCATTTCACAACTGGGTATGTACCAGCAATTCTTGGCAAACAATTTCAATCCTCCCATTTGTCCCTAAAAAGACTAGAAGCCTCTCTTACCACCTATACCAATGTTTTTTCTAACCACTCTATCCCATGCCCCTCCTAAATACCTCTACACTGTGCTTCAAGTGAGCTTCTTTAGCTGCTCACGTTCACTGTGAAGTAAGGACTGGCAGAGGTTACACATCCCAAGGCAGGAGCATCTGCAGTAACACTGGATTCCCACAAAATCCAGCATCCTCCAAACACCACGGCTCCAATCTCCACCTTCTTCTCAACACCTGCCCTGCCCACCTCAGCACTGCCGATCAGGCATCAAGTTTAAAACCACGAGCTCAGGGCCAGCTTTACACTGCTGTCCTTAATCCATTGCCCAACAAGTCCCCACTGATGTCAAAAAACTGCCCACAAAACAGCACACTGCTCCAATTTAATAAGGATTAGCTAAGGGCTGGGAATGGCTGGGAAGTGGTCAGAGAACAAGACTGGTTTGAAGTTGCAGTGTTAAAGTTTCCAACCTGCAGAAAGCAAGATCTTCAGGTACAAAACAGATTAGTTCAATCATAGCATATGCTGTGCTTTCATGGTAATGTGTCTGGAAAATCTGGGTAACTAATTATACTGCAAAGGTAATACACAGTTGTTAAGTGTATATATACATATATACACACACGTATGTACACATTTATATTTACACTACTGCTGCTAGATGTTGGTTCTTACAGTTAATTCCTGCCCAATACAGTGCAATCTCACGTGCTACACCTTCCCTTCAATTGAGGCTGCAGATTTGTTCTTTTTTTTTTTTTCCCAAACCAAAGCAGACCACAATCATTTAAAGCATGAGAAGATTACCTATCATGGTATCTCAAATCATCAGAAGTACCTGTAGCATGGAAACCAAAATATCAGTATCTCTTTCTCCCACCACTTATAGGTACACAAACTAATACACTGCTTTTGAAGAGACAAATTAATTATGCAAGGAATTTATACATGCAACCTTCATTGGTGGTATTTTTGGGAACCTTGATCTTGCAGCTGATGCTGTAAGCTCTCAAGTAAGACTTGGGTAAGGTGCACAGGAAAGAAGGCAAGCACCAGCATTTTGCCCCAAGAGCTCCTTCACCCCAATTTCTCATCCCCATTCACAGCTGAAGAATCTCCAGGAAGAAGAACAGCCCATGGGATAAAAGTCTGATCTGTGAGAACAGGATCTGCTCTGCTGAAAGCCGATACCTGAAAGTCTACTATCCAACTTTCCTACCACTCTCATAACAGAGAAATCTCAGGGTACAAAAGTAACCCTGAAACACTTCACACTGCTGCTGAATCACTGCAGCACCTCTAAGGAAACTTCTCTGAGAGCAGCGTTGGAGAACGTGCCGCTTTGGACCAGCACCTCACCCCGAGAACCAGATACAGAATACAGCTCCTGAGACGGCCCGCTTCCTCACCACTCTGCCCAAGCAGTGCCAGGCCCAACACCTCCTTACTACAAGTTATGCTTAAACTACACAGGCAGGCTGCAACAGCTCTCATGACACGCTTCCAACAGCTCCAACTATAAAGCTGTGTCTTTTATAACTGCAGTACAACAAAAACACAACAACAGAAGTGACAAACCTATCGCAAATTGTATCCAGCACCATATCAAGCTCCAGATACAAGGCATGCACACAGCTAGGCAGGTCCAAAGCCAAACCCCAAACACCTCTGGCGCTCCACGCACTGTACACCTACTGCAGAAATAGTTCGGATGAGATCAGAGAACAAAGGAGCCCTCTAGGAGGACTGCGTTAGCTGTAGCCAACTGTGGACCCTTACAGGCAGAGAAAGCAGACCCAGCCTGAGAACAACGCCTCACACGGGACATTCCTGCAGGCCAAGAGTCAGGGCTGGCTTCTCACTTCACAGTCACAAAGTCATAGGAAGAAACAAAAGAGAAAAGGCAACCTAGCAACTCTAGCTGGACAATTAGTAGGTACCTGGATCAGAAGTTAGAACAAGAGATAAAGGGATAAGTAAACATATTTAATTCTTGAAAGCAAGAAGAAAGGTGAAATGACAGACCACTCCCAAGAAAACTGCATCATGATTAAAACCCCTGTACAAGCAAGACTTTTCTCAGCTTCAAGTGATCTGACTCTCTACTTTGCATATGATTCGAAATTTGCTTTTGTCTGCATGCACGGCAGTCACACACTGCATGCAATACCAAACCACAGGCTACAAACAGAAGCAGGCCTCGCTCTGACAGAACTCCCAGTAAACATCAAGCCAAAGCAGCTCAAAAGCAACAATTTTCCCAAGACTAGGAACTAGAGAACTCATCTTCATAATTAAAAAGTTGTTGTCTCTAGCCATTTGACTACACCAGTTAGAGCCACACAAAGTTCTAGATGCCTCTGGATGCTAACATCAATTTCTCGGTGTCCCTTCCTGGATCTTCTCACTGCGAGGCATTCAGCTGCTGCAGGAGGGCAGCCCCAGCACTGAAGCTCTCTGTGCAAAGCAAGGAAGCAGTCAGGCACCAGCCCTGCTGCCTCCGTCCAGCTGAGCAGACTGCAATCATCAGAAACGTAAAACTGAACACACCTGTGAAAAATGCTACCACCTATTCAAGGTTATACGGGAAAATAAGAATAGTTTTGAGCCCCCGTTCCTTTGCATTTGCAAGAACTTCATACAGCAGAGACGACAGAAGCGCCTCCTCTGACATGAACATACATACCCTTGATTCCAATTCCCAGGTTTCTGGAGAGGCAGCTGAATTAAGGTCAAGTATGAAAATCCAAGTCAAAAAGAGAGAGAGAGCACCTGAATTAGAATGCAAAGCTTTAGTGCAGCAAAGCAGAAGCGTCAGATCATGATGCAGTAGGTTTGTCTGCAAAAATTACCGCTGAAGAGCATTTCTCAAATACCCTTCCTTCAGCCACACAACGCTAAAAGTGATAATCATCTTGGCCTGATGCACTCGGGTAGAACACCTAATGCTCCACAGGCTCAGAACAGCTGAAGTACTTCATTCTCCCAGTTGCTCTAACCTGGAGCAGGTCTGGTCGTGTGGTCCCTCAGAGGTGGGAGTCAGCTAGACCTGTCCTCAGCTCTCACCTCTAGCAGGTCAGCCCTTGTATTCACAACAGTCACAGCACATCCCAGTACCCTCCCTTCCCATTCAGTGAATAAATTAATCACTCTGTTTCTAGCTAGCAGCATCTTCAACATCTTGCTTTTCCTATTTTCTACAGTAATTGCTATGGACCACACCAGGGGAACAATAAAAGCCTTCCTTCCTCTACCACCTCCTTTTTTTTTTTTTCTAGCACATTTGGAAATACAGCCTCAAACATGAGAGACAAATATAGAACACATCATCAGGGCACACCTTCATCTGCAAACACTGTGAAGCCATACTTAAAAGCATGAGCTGCATCATTCATCTTGATGAAGACACTGGGAACACAACAATTCCACAGACTCTGTCTGCTGCAATTCCACAGTAGTTCCACAAAATGGAACGTTTTTGAACAAGGAATTCAAGCCAGTCTTGCTAGAACCTGCCATTGCCATCCTGCTTCCTAACTGCCTTCTCAAAAGAGAAATCTCTTCATTATGGGCATACTCCAGGAACCGTTCCACAGAAGTCACTACAAGCACCTCACACACACCTCCTTTCCTCCTTTTTCTGCTGACCACCATCTCTCCAGCACAGTGCTCAAGGCTAGACAAATCAAAATGATTCTCCACCACCAGAGAAGCAGCCCTTCCTGCAAGGTGCACAACTGGGAGATTGTAAAATAACTCCAAAACCCATTACTTATTATTTTAAGAAAAGTCCATTCAATTATTCCTAACTTTACAACTCTCCTGCATAAGGCTGTGGGCAGTGGTGAGCTGAAAGAGCTGCCAAGGCCTAAAGCAGAGTCAGTAATTTACTCCAAAAGTCACCAACAACCACCAGTCTCAACATAGGAAATCAAAACAATTTCCCGTGGGATACACAAGGGAAAAAGTCACAATAAGCAAAGGCTGTTTCAAAAGAGCAATTTGCTTAGCATGACTTTCCATTCTGACAGGTCAGGTTTGTGACAGCATCACAAACGTTACCTCCACATCTCTGAGCTTTGTAGGATACATGGCGTAGTTTTGATAGCAGAGGAACTTTCATTTAAAAAAAAAAAAAAAGCTGGGTCATTTTGAGAACACTTGGTGCCCACACTGACACCTGCCTCGAAACAGAAAAGCTAACAACATTTCAGGAAAGGAACAGACATCAAAAAGGAAAAGATTGCTGCCCAGAACTCCGCCATCCTAACTCATGGCCTGATGATAAGTCAGCATCACTGGGAAATTTTTCACATATTTCATAAATGAGAAAACTGTCACCAAGCCTCAGAGAAAATACAAGTTTGACCAAGGGCTTCCCAGGGTTTTCATTTTTCTCAGAACTTTATTGTAGAAGGACCAACCTCAAGGAAGGCTGACAGAAGCAGTAACTCAGCTTCCATTGGAAGAAAATAAATGGGGAAAAACGTAGGTCCAAAGCAAAGCAACTGTGGGATCCACACCCTGTTTTGCTACTTCCCGTGGCACAGCAGCCAAAGCGCTGAGCTTCACTGCTCCCCCTCGCACTTGCTGCCATGCCTGCCCTGCCGCTCCGTGCTGCACCACCACAACCGAACCTCAGCGCAAACCTGAGCCGAGCTCAGCAGAATTCCCAATACAATTTTATGTTCCGAAGCACCAATAGAGCACAAAGAAATAACTGAGGCGACTGCTACCTATCAGAACGAATAAACCTTCCTGCGGCAATCGGTGAGATCGGGAGAACACAGCGGCCGTGCGCGTCTTAAGATGAACAGGAAGATACGGGCCCGAAGGCGGCCAGCATTACCAAACGCAGAACCAAGCAGCCGGGACCGCATTCCCACCGAGGAAAGCGCCGCCCGCGGCCCGGGCACGGAGCCCCGCTGCGACTCACGGGCGAAACGGGGGAAAGTACACCGAGATCGCACGGTTCACGCAGCCGGCCGCTATGGAAGAGCCGCGCGGTGCAGAACGAGCGATCCCGGGAGCCGCAGCCGCCCGAAGCGGGGCAGCGCGGCCACGGCCACGGCACGGCCGCGCCCCGCAGCCCCCGCGCCCGGGCCGCCCCCGCCGCGAAGCCTCCCGCGCCTCA